CTAACCCCCTCGCCCGCCGCCACAGCCGCCTCCGCCTCAAATCCTCCTCCTCCTCCTCCTCCTCCTCCTCCCCCGCCACCGCTTCATCTCCGGCATGGCATCACGGCTCTACGGCTTTAAACGCAAGGCTCGTACCCCCCGATCTCATCACAAGCCGCTGGTCCCTGAGCTCGAAAGCTCTGTTGAAGAAGAAGAGGAGGAAGAGCAGCTCCTTTATCGTGTACCCGTACTCGATCCCGCGCTCGCTTTCGGCGAAACGCCGGCCCCACCGCCGCCACCGCAGCCGAAGCAGCAAGCTGCTTCAGGGGCGGCGGTGGAGGCACAATTTGCGCCGACGGAGATCGAATTGGCAGAGTTTGCGGCAAATATGGAGAGTTTGCTCGGGCGAGGGCTCGACGGCGGTGAGGCGTTTTGTATGGAGGAGTTGGGATTGGGCGATGTCGGCAGCACAGGGAGACTGGAGATGGAAGTGAAAGGCGAGGTGGAGGAGGAGAAGGAGGGAGAAGGAGAAGGGCTGAGTTTTGAATTGGAGGTGGATTTGTCTAGAGAGACTTTGGAATTGGATTTCGGATGCGGGCCGTCGGAGATGAAGGAGGAGGAGAAGGAAGTTAGTAAAGGGATGGGTTTGAGACTTGATTATGAGGCGGTGAAGGAGGCGTGGCAGTTGACCGGAAGTTCGCTGTGGATGTCCGGCGAGCGGCCGAGATTGGGGGCTGAAGATTACTGGCTTGAGTGCTTGGTAAGTGCTTAATTTTAGTTGTTAATTGACGGTATTGATATTAGTTGTATCATGAATGAGTGAATGGATGATGGATTAGTTAATTAATTGTAGAGAATTTCAGGTATTGAGTGAGATGAAAATTAATTAAGAAAATTTTGAATATAGCTCAAATTCTAGCAGTACCTTGTCTTGCAAAATCAAGGTTTTGTAATTAAAAAACAGTTCTTTATAGTTCTTAATATCGATAATTCATTAATCTTGTCTTGCAAAATCAAGGTTTTGTAATTCTGAGTATATTATATCCTAAGTCAGATTTAACTTATGATATTTTAATCTAAAAAATCTTTTATTTTCCTTTTTAATTAATAATTTTTATATTTTTGGCAGGGAATGTGGGGAAGAGGAGGAGAATTAGTGGGAGGAGGAGGAGGAATTCAAGCTGTGGATATAGGAAGAGAAGCAAGAGTAACAAGATACAGAGAGAAAAGAAGAACAAGGCTCTTCTCCAAGAAAATTAGGTATGAGGTAAGGAAACTCAACGCTGAGAAAAGGCCTAGGATGAAGGGCAGATTCGTCAAAAGGGCCTCTTTTCCGGCGACGTCCGCCGACGCCACCGCCGGAGGTGGGCCGGTGGGGGTTTCCTGCTGGAAAGGTGAGAGCTTCAGCTTCGGAACTGAAGTTGACTGAAAAATGCTGAATCTTGTTCTGAAAGCTCTTTTTGTGCAGTTTGATGTTTTATTTTATTTTTTTTCCTCTGCGCACTGGAAAACACCGGCGGACAGGCAGCTAAGAGGGTTTTCTGCCCGAGGAACTCTATTTTTTTGTTTATTTTGTAAATTTTTTTTTTTTTTTTTGGATGAAAAAACTGTTTGGAAGCAATAAAAATCAGTGTGCTACCTTTCACTTTTTAGCTTTACATATACGTGTTGATCCAAATAATATATCATCATGTGTGTTATATCACGTAGTTTATTTCAGGATTATTAAAGTAGAACCACAGAGATTTTTTTGGAGTTATTGAAAAGAAACCATATATTCCACTTCAATAATTCCGAAATAACTCAAAAATAATCCTGAAATAACTTTTTCGGTTCCACTTCAATAACCCCGAAATAACATCGCCGATGTTATTTCAGGATTATTTAAGTGAAAAATATGATTTTTTCTTCAATAACTTCAAAATAATCCCGAAATAACTCTGAAATAATTCTGAAAATAAACTCCAATATGTTATTTCGAGGTTTTGAACTTTAATATTTTTTTAGGTGGGTCCAATATAGCACACACGATGGTATATTACTGGGAGTTCGCACGTAGAGCTTCGGAGTCCCAATAGCTAAGCGGCAGTCTATGGACCAAAAAAAAAAAAAAAAAAAAAAAAATTTTCATTAATTTATTGTGCTGCAACAGAAACAAACCATTAAAATTACAGCAAAAAAAAAAACACTTTTTCTTTTAAATCTCACGTTTTTAATTGGAAAGTAAGGAGGGGAGGGAGATCAGCTCCTGCAGAGGCATAGTGGTGAAGTAAAAATTATTACAATCCAAGTGCAGAAGGCAATTCAAAAATACCACATACCAATTATTTTATTCTGAAGAATTTGTAAGAGATGAAGTAAGTAACGGTGTGATCAGATTCGACCCGTCGTAAGGTATTGGCGTGTCATTTTAACCTTAGAAAATAATGCTTAGAAGTTTGACGGCAAATTTAGAAAAGGTTTACAATTTTTAGGGTTTAGGTTTGCAAGATTTTTTCGATGTGAAGCACCGGGAAAAAAATTGTTCTTGTTGCCAAAACTCAGAAAGAAACCATGATGATGGAGAACAAGAAGGGTGTTAACTTTGAACAACTCTGAGCTGATATATGTTTCTCTTTCTGGTGATGATATCATAGAAGTGAACTCATTAATAAGTTTGAAACACGATTTCGTTTATATTGTTAATCTACAATTTTTTTTTTATTTTTTTTGTAGTGGTTTGATATATGTAATATTTAATATTTCAAGGAGAGTATCTTGATTGGGTGCTGACGAAATGTACAAATAAAACCATATTTTTACTCACTGAATTAGCTAAATCAACTGAAGTTTACTATAGAAAACTTTAACTTTTTTTTGTAGTGTTTTATTGCATATATTATTGAACATTTTCTCGAATGCAACCTTATTGTAATGATTATACTTAAATATTTTGAAGAAACAAGTCAAAGTAACTAGAAAGTAAAGAAGATCATTTTGTAGGAATTTAGTGCATATATTATTGAATATATTTTCTTAAAAATGTTGGCTATTTCTTTTTAAATTTAGTTTGTGCTTAAAAAAAAATCTAAACACAACAAGATCTAATGAATTTATCTTTGTAAAATCATATTGTATGCTTGTATTTCTCTTAAATGCCTAATTAATTATCATGTGAGAAAGCTCCAAAGCTCGAAGCTTTAATTTTCATTGGATCATGTCATCTGGTGGAGAGCAAAGACTTTTTAGATACAAAATTGTTGTATTTGTTGCATTCATATTTATTTGTGACTTGTGTTGTAGAAATATATCAATAAAACCGGTACAACATAGTTGCACTAAAGGGAAGCAAAGTTGAGTCTAGTTAAAAATCTGAATAAAAAATTGTGTATAAAAGGAATGAATTTTTAAATTTTGTTTTTCATCGTGCAGACGATTGACTGATTTATCTCTTGTACAACCATATTGTATTTGTTGTACTGACTTATCTCAATACAACCAGTACGACATGTTTGGACTTAAAGGAAGACAATAAAGTTGAATTTTGTTAAAAATCTGAAGAAAAATATAAAAATTGTATATAGAAGGAATGAATTTTTATTTTTTATTTTTTCTTGTGCCCATGATTAACTGATTTATACCTTGTACAACCATGTTGTATTGGTTGTACTGATTTATCTCATTATAATCAATATAACAATATTGTATTAAGAAGTGACAATAAAGTAAAGTTTGGTTAAAAATCTAAATAAAAATAAAAAATCGATATATATATATATATATATATATATAAAGTGAATTTTTAATTTTTACTTTTCCTTGTGTCTATGATTGACTACTTTATCCTTTGTATACACATGTTGTATTGGTTGTAGCGATTTATCTACAACCGATGTAACATGATTGTGTTGAAGGGAAGACAATAAAGTTGAGTTTGGATAAAAATATGAATAAACATAAAAAAAAATTGTATATTAAAAGAAATAATTTTTTATTTTTGTATTTCCTGATGCCTACAATTAGTTAATTTATCCATTGTACAATCATGTTGTATTGATTGTACTTATTTATCTCGATACAATCGATATAACATGATTGTACTAAAGGGAAGACAATAAAGTTGAGTTTGGTAAAAAATCTGAATAAAAATATAAAAAAAATTGAATATAAAAAAATGAATTTTAAATTTTTGGTTTTCCTCATGTCTATGATTGGTTGATTTATCCTTTATATAAACATGTTGTATATGTTTTACTAATTTATCTCAGTACAATCGATTGTACTAAAGGAAAGTCAACAAAGTTAAGTTTGGTTAAAAAACTTAATAAAAACAAAAAAACATTGTACATAGAAGGAATGAGTTTTTATTTTTTGCTTTTTCTTGTGCTTACGATTGGTTAATTTATTCCTTGTATACGACAATGTTGTATTGATTATACTGTTTTATCTCAATACAAATGATATAACATTGTTGTACTGAAGGGATGCATCAGTTGAGTTTGGTATAGAAAGATTAAATTTTAATATTTGGTATGTGAGAGAAACAAACATCTTGCAAGATTTGTTATTATAAAAAAGATAAAACATTTAAAGAAAATAACAAGAGCATGGAACAAAATATATCTCAATCTGTTTTGTTCTTTTCTATAACTTTTGGAGTCACCAGCTTGTGTTATCGTCGCTGTATAATTCTTTTTCCAAATAAATCTCTCTTTTGAATCATGAAGATGATTCAAACATGTGAGAAACTAAAAAGAAAGAAAATACGACAAAAATAGACAGACAATTAAAAAATAACATGGAGAACTTTTATAAGGTAACCTTTTCGGGATATCTCAAGAACGTACATTTGAAACGAGATCGGATCAAAGCGAATTGAAGGCATATCCACAAAAAAAAAAAAAAAAAAAAAAAAAAAAAAAGTAACCCACAACTAGAGAATCAAATTTTTATGCTTATTTTATGTCAAGAGTAGCTCTTAAATGATCACAGTCATTTGGTTAATTATATCATGGGAGATGCCCAAAAATACTCTCGATAAAAATTATATCACTTAGAATATTTATGATATCTGGTTATTTAGGAAACCAAAGAATTTTTATCATCTCAAGTGGGATGATCTCGATGCTTTGATGCCTATACCGAGTTATAGGGTAGAGGGTGATAGATGTTTGGGACCAATAATTTTAAAGGATGTAACTGGTGCATATCTTAAGTAATTGCTCCAAATGAAAAGAATAGAAATTGAAACTTCAGCCTGAAACAAGAAATTCTTAATAGTCATGCACATTAATCTTTACTATGAGAAGTTTATTAATAATCATTGGAGGTGCAATCTCAACTTGAAACATGGTAAAAGTGCAATAGTTTGCAATGCAAGGGATCCTTGATGTTCTCGCACTTTGACTGCCTAAGCCCATAAAATGCAGAAATTTGTTCAAATTACTTATAGTTCATGTTGTGCTTGAGCCTTATGCACAAAAGAAAACCAAGCACAAATATTTTCTTCGGGTAAACCACAGAGTCATTTTTTCTATTGAGATCAATAGCTTAACTCTAATTTGTAATATGTGACAAACCTTTATGTGCTTGCTTATTCCAAAGGAAAACAAGCAGGCCACTACTCATAGCATGTGATGGATTAAGCTTGCAAGATCAAGAAAAATAAAAAATACTTTACTGCATTTAAATCGATCAGCAAACAAGAAGAAAATCACTACATGTACACACAAACACTCAACTCCACATTTTATCAAGTGACAGCTTTCAGTTTAACAATATTAAATGGTTCATGATAGATGTTTGAGACCAATAATTTTAAAGGATGTAATTGATGCATATCTTCAGTAATCACTCCAAATGAAAAGAATAGAAATTGAAACTTCAGCCCAAAACAAGAAATTCTTAATTGACATGCACATTAACCTTTACTATGAAAAGTTTATTAATAATTATTGGGGGTGCAATCTCAAATTTATTATGCGTAAAAGAAAATAACACATTGCCTAGTAAGAATACAAGTTGCACTCAATGCACAATTCTCCCTGTAATGCAAAAACTACAAAAGGATTGATGTAAGCAAACTTATACCAATTTCAAAGAGAACGCTGCCACAATTAAGAATAATGACTGCTAGATTACTTAAAGTGTACCAAACCATTTTTCCAAGCCCATTCTCAAGAAGAAAAATAGGTGAAGTTGAAAAAATAAAGAAAGAGAGAATCTATATGAGAACTTGTAGGAATTCATTATGATTTTCATTATAAATAATTAGGTAACAAATACTATCCATGACCCTTATTGATAGGTATGAACCAAGAGTGAGGTGAAAGCTACACATTGAGTTACATAAATAAGAAATGCATATCAAAACTTATTTGTTGATTGTTGTCAATTAAATCATGCAAGTAACCTAAGTACATCATAATCACTATTGATCATTTCATTGAG